CCCTCGCGTCAATCCACCAGCGCAAAGAGAGTAATGATGATGCATGCACGAGCCAACGTTGCAACATTCTGCGAGTAATATATGACAGTGCCACTGTTGGGTGCCCATTTTGCTGTCATATATAGGAATCCAATCATAGTGGCTATCATTACACGCCCTGTGAGAACATTACATCATCACCAACCTGAAAGAGGAAAAAAGAGTGATGGAGGAGGAGAGCAAAGCAATGAAGCAACAGCCTAAGAAAAATTTGTGGAAACCAGAAGAAGATATGATCCTTAGAAACTACGTGGAAACTCATGGAGAAGGGAATTGGGCAACCGTCTCCCAGGAATCAGGTAAAATAATTTCACCCAAAACTATCTCTAATAATCTATATAAAACTTATTCATCCTTCTCAGAACTCTATAGCGAAGAGAGATACAATAACAGACAATGGTGGACCGACTTTTTAGAAAATATTACATATATATCAGGTTTGATGCGAGGTGGGAAAAGCTGCAGACTAAGATGGAAGAATTACCTCAGGCCTAATATAAAGCGCGGGGGCATGTCCAAAGAAGAAGAAGACCTAATTATCCGTATGCATAAACTTTTAGGCAACAGGTAAGTTTATATTGAATTAATCTTTTAAGCTTAATCAATACTTACAGTTGTAAAGAGAGTAAACTGACTGAATGTTTGGATATTTCTTCCATTCAGATGGTCACTGATTGCTGGCCGGCTTCCCGGTCGAACCGATAATGAGGTGAAGAACTACTGGAATACCCATTTGAACAAGAATGGCCTGCAAGACAAAAGAAAAGCTAACGACTCAAAAGACCACAAGAAAAATGATGACGACGATGATGATGCGAATAATAAGAAACAGAAGAAAGTGATCAATCAGACTTGTTATCCTCAACCACCAATATGCAGCAACAACGGGAAAAATGTGGCTCATGATACAGAGAGAGGGAACCAGGAAGAGAAAAGAATAGTTACAGATCCTTGGAATATGGACGACATAACAAGTTCTCACTATTATATGAACTCTCCAATGGTACCTGCAAATAACACGACATTTAACTTTGATGACGAGCCTTTCTTTGATCCCTTCTTCCTGTATGAAGCATTTGGATGCAGTGGTGTTAATGCATCACTAGAGAAAATGTGACATGTAATTTTTTAGGGTTTTGAGAAACCCCCACTTTCAGGTAGGCTTTATTGTCAAAATCCTTATTCTTTTCCGCCCAGTAAGATGGTAAATTGTGCCAAAGCTTAAACTTCCACAGTACTTTTTTCCTGCACTTTAGAGCTACTTGTCACAACACATTGCTATCTATCAATCAGAAATGCACTTTCCAAACAACATTTACAAACACAGGTACTTGGAATCAACTGAATATTACAGCAAGGTCGTTCGTAGTTGAACATGAATCTTTATATTCCAGGTATCAATATTTCTATTAGATGATATCCAGTTAGATGTACAAATAAACAAAATGGTAAATGTTGGGGAGCACAGAACGACTTATCCTGTTCAGGTGAAACGCTTTGGTGCATTTCCTTGCGGGAGTTGAATGAACAATAAAATGAAAGCCTAAATGCCCATCAGATATCATGGAACATTTTTATAATACGACAGATTAATACCATGCAAAATTAAAAAAATCCACACTTTTCTACAAAATTAAGCTATTTAACAGAAGCGATTCAGTTTCCCAAAATATTGGACCTCCATGGCTGGCTAGTCAACAAGGTATAGAATGCATATCTTTACAAGACTTCATCTTGTTGAATGTAATATGAACCATCATCCAGTGGCAACGAGGGTGGGGTTCCAGGAGGGATGTTAGCAGCACCATTCTCTCCAGCGCACACACATAAAGCCTCTGCATCCCTGATGGCAGCGTCAAGGTTGATGTGGCCACTCAACTCATTGATAAACTTCAAGAGCGTGTCAAAGTCCATCTGCTCCCCCATTATCTTGTTACGGTAGCGCTTCAAGATCGCAACACAAAGGTACAGATGCAGATGTTCAGACAGATAATGAGTCCATAAGACCTCCCATAGGTGCATAACCTTTTCATATTCAAATTCTCTGTACGTGATCGAAGAAAATAACAGCAAGACAATTAAGAGAGAGAACAGTCGAAAAACTAATTTACTATCAGAAGTTGTCTTTTGGCATAAAATGAGACATGTAACAAATTAAAATGATAATACAACATTAGCATGTGGTACAACTCGAAGAAAAATTTAGTAAGTATGAAATTAGCCTCTGATACAAAGCGGTGGCTTGGCTCTTCTATAGGAGGAAAGCCAGATAAACTACACGTAGGAAGTTATCCCTAAGTACCCATGCTAAATGGTAATTCCCAAATAACTAAAAGAAATATTGATACCTCGAATATATGGAGAAGAAACAGATCCAGGGGAATGAAGAAAAAACTGTACAAACTATTTAGAAGGAATCTGATCCGGGGAAAAAATATATGCCCAACCTTCCAGTCTAAAAGGGAAAAAATGTAAAAACAGGTAATATCAGCCTGACCTTTTGAACTGTATGAGAACCCAGCGGAAGCAGAAGAAATAATTCAAGCAATCATGCTGACTGAAGTAGTTATGCAATGGGGTGTCTAACAACTCTACCAGCTGCCAAAAACATAGCAGAAGAATAGATTAGGAAAGAAAATCACACCTTGTAATAGGGAAATCCTTGCAACAACGTAAATATATATTTTTTAAAATTATAACATTTTTTATTAAATTAAATTAAATATTAATAAATAAAAATTTAAAAATAAACAAATAAGATGTATTATATAAAAAATAATGATGAATGAGTAGATTATGTGGTATAATTTCATTAGGAATGTCAATCTCATTAGATAAAAAATGAGTCAAAAGATTATTAGGCTTATTTGATTGTTTTTCTATTTAATTTTTAACAATAACATGACCAGATATTGAAATAAATTAAGCAAATAAACATCTCAAAAAGAAATAAAATACACTGTTTTTTGGTAGGAAACCAAGAAAGACAAAAAGAAAGCTCCAGTGGTATTGCACCATTGAGTCTGTCTCCTTTTTTAAAGGATGGCCATTGAGCACATAGGTGATAAGAGCCTTCTTATTAGCATGGAGAACTATGGACCAGCCGCAGGGGAGGAGGATGTTCTAAATCTTTTCAGCAAAAGGACAGGTGAGAAAGAGATGAATTGAGATTCTGGATCCCCTTTGCCCATGAAACTCTAACTGGGTGAAGATAACTTTGAAACATGTCCTCCTTTAATAAAGATTAAGGCTGAACAAAATAAATTCTACAGCCACAGGATCTAAGTCAGCCTCAGGTCATGTTAATTTCATTTAATTCATTAAATATGATCATAAACTGAAAGATCTAGTTTAATTCATGATCAAACGGAAGAGCCTATGAAGAAAAATAAGAGCAAAATACAATTGCAAGACATCAAACTCCATTAAAACAAAGAATAACTGTTACTTAAAATTTAAAACGATAAGTTAAAATCAAGCAACTTCATTGCATAATTTTGTACCTAACCATTATTTATATATATATATATATATTGTAGAATGACGCAATTTCTATGTGCATGTGCATGCAATGAAGAGGTACACAGGGGGGGGTGCGAACCTTGGAAATTGCAAAAAGTTGACAATGCATGCCAGTCTGATCACGATTAAAATTTGGTCCAAGGCGTTCCATCAGAGCAACAAAACACCAAAACGACTCTGACTCATCACCCATTACGAACAATATAGGTGAAAGAAAATCGCTCATACCCTGTAAATTATTGCAGTAAAATCAGCCAGAGTTAAACTAGATGAACCAATGGATTTTAATCAGCCGATATACAATTTACCAAAAGCTTTCAAACATGGACACTAATACAAAATACTCTGCAAAAATAGTTTGCCAATTAGTCTTGGTCTGCTAATCATCCTATATCACAATAGCCACATAGCATTTAGTAGGCAGCTAGGAATTCAAACATCTAAGTTAAGTTATATCCTTGCTGACATAAAGAATTCATATCTAGATCTGACTATATCTCGACATTACAATTAGGCAGCAGCTTAAATTACAAAAACTTCAGGTATCCCTTAACTGAGAATTAACTTCAAATAAAACTTAAAATCTCCCTGAAACCCTAGCAAATTGAACCACTCAAGCATGAGTTATGTCCTCGATGCCTGAACTATAAGCCATACAAAAAAAGTTTACCTGACAATATCCAAGATCAAAGTTATAAAATGAATAGGTCAATAAGATATCATGCAGAAGCTTCACATTCGGGTTTTCATCCCCATCAAAAAAAGAAAGTGATCGGTCCGTCCTCACCTTATAAGAAGATTAAAATAAACTATTTAGAAATGGGAAACAAAATCAAATTTATTTAAAGATCAATCAAGGAAAACAAAGTATATCATTTTGATACACCTACCACATCTTTCTCAATAAGGCCTTTCCTCTCTTTAAACTTTGTAAATCTTTTTGCCTGCTCTGGAGAGATACTCTGCAAGAAAAGATAGAGAGGAGATAAGCCTGATTTAAACATCTTAAAAGGGGGTCAAGTGAGAAAGGATAATTTACAAACCTACACCTGGGGTCAAGGGAGAAACGATAATTTACAAACCTACACCTAGTACAAATTCAAGAGAACCTACGAAGAATGCCGAGGAACCCAGGTTCCACTACATCAAAATTTAAAAGGAATTTTATTACATAATGTGATTGTATGGACTATTCACTAGGATATCTCGAATGAAGTATACAATATCATCCTCTCAGTGTTCGTTAAATTAACTGAACTGTGAACATATGTCTGCATTCATTTTTTATTGTTTCTTCAACAATAAGAAGATAGGAACCAGAACCAGGAATTGCAATAGAAATTGATAGAAATGTAGAAAGATAGTATTGAAATGATAAAGAAATATTACAATATCCAAGTACTTCAAGAGGCTGAACTCCCAAAAAAACAAATGCTTCCAAATTTTGCAGACAACTATATCCTACTAATATCTTAATAATATCTCCAATATTTTCCTACTAATACTCCTCCCAGAAAATTTAGAATTATTTATTACAAATTTACAATTGGTTTGACTTTTGTAGGTTTGTCATCTTCCAACAAGAGAATGTGAAGCAACTGTTTGGCAGTACCTTCCTCAAAGGGAAAGCAAGAAAGATTTGGGCTAATGTTGTAAAGTCATGGTTTGATGAGGTAGCTAGAGCTAGGGATATGGCGGAGGTGGTATAATGTTCTTTATCGGGGTACTTAAGATAAGAAGTTTGGTAGTTATTCTTATTCTATTGTCATAGCTGGGGAAGTTTTGAGGTATTTGATTGGAGTTTAGTTTTATGCCATGTTTTTTTTATGAGAAGCCAAGCTTTCTCAAGAAAGCTGAAAGAAACTAAAGACATACAAAAAAGTACCAGCCCATTAAAAGGAGTGTGAACTAACAAATCGACTCAAATCCAAAATAATAAAGCCTAACTAATAATTGCAAAATGGTTTAGTAATAAAGCCCATTGGTATTAAATCTAGCAACCTCCCACAACTCTTTCCAGGACTTCTACACCCCTCCAAAAATCCTACCATTCCTCTCAATCTGGTGGTTCCTAAAAAACACTATTCCCCTCTCACCGCCATATCAGTGAAAACTTCACTTTTGTTTAAAAAAATTTCAGAAACAAAATCAGCAAAGAAAAATGGCATTTTTTGTCTAGTTAAAATTGAACCGATATTTATAGGTTCAGCAGCCATCAACTCTTCTTATATGTGCCGTTCCCTTCCCCTTCTTTTTCACCTTAATCAGAAAGCTAACAATCGTTCATTCAACACTTTAACAATCTCTGGGAGTACCATCTAGAGTATAAAGTCAACATGAAGGCAAAATATATGATAGAACATGAATAAGAAAATTCAAAACTGTGCACAATACAGTTATCAATTATCATGTAGCCGTTAAGCTTCAGAAGAAAACAGGAAGAAAGAAATGTAGGGGAGGATTGATGATAAACCTGCCACTGGTTCTTTATTGTCAAATACTCGGACCTTTTGATGGATTTAAGATATTCCCTCTCAGCATATGTGGAATCATATGCATGGTATCCCAACAAGAAAGCCCATACCTACACATCATACATATTATTTACAAGAAACAAAACTTCATAAAAAGGAAAAAAAAAATCAACGCAGAACTATCAATTCCTCCAAACATTGACCATAGACCAAAATTAATTCCAACTATATATATATATATTTCTTTAGCTTGCGTGAATCTTGACTTCACAAGATAACCGCTTGACCCTACTATATT